CCTGTTTTCAGGCAGAATTCCTGGATAATTACCAGCTAATTAACAGCCAGTTTGGTGTAGTGGCTAAGATATCAGGTTAGAAAGCTGGAGACCACAAGTTCAAGTCTCACCTTAGTCATGAAAGCCAGTTGAATGACTTGGGACGAAATACTCTTACCCCACCAACCTCATAAGGTTGTTGTTGGGAAAATAGGAAGAAGGTATGTTGAATATGTCTATTGCCTTGAGTTATTTGTAAAAATAATAAAGGCAGGATACAAATAAATAAATCTAAGAGAAATGCAGCAAGTGATAGTTCCCCCATCCACTGATCCCTGTCTAAGGACAATGATGCTGGATTTCTGTCTGTAAGAGGTGGAAATAGCTAGAAAGAAATATCCTCACTAAAAGAAAATCTTAGACAATTGCATATAAAATAGTTGCACAGTTGTGACTTTGTTATATTATAACTTGCATAGTTAATACAATGATTATGTACATGAAAATTAAATCTACTACAGGGGAGGATCTGAAGATTAACACTCTGCATGGATCTCAGTTGGTGACATTTGCACAGAATGGTCTACTTTGAAGGACCAATGCAGGCTGGCATTGCAATATTTCTTTTTTAGTAACAGACCCAGTACAATCAGTTGGTGTGGTTATGCTAATCTCTCAGGACCTCCACATAATATAAAGCTCATAGCCATCAGATTTTAGCTTATTTAGCAGCTATATTCTACTTTTTTTCTGCATCTGCTGAATAATTCACTTCATTTGTAACCTGTTTTGGGGGGTGCAGAGTACCTATTAAATGATTGAATGGAGTACTGGTATTGTTTACGTTGATCAGAAGATTACCACAGCCTAAGGAAATTAGAATGGTCATGTCCTTTGGTACAGAACTGAACTGAAATATTAACTGCTCTACTAAAATTGGAGAAGGGAGTTAATAAGAAATCTTATTATTAATGTAACTTGCCCTTTAGGGTTGGTGAACCTTTTCCTAGTTCTGAAGATTCAGGACAGCTCCCTCAAGCAGTAAATATTGGAAAGTTTGGACTGCAGTAAAGTTTTGGAGGAGAGAACAGAGTTTGCCATAAAATCTACTTTGTGTGGACTAAGAAAACCTTCTGCCCCAGATGTTCTGCCGCATTGTTGATGCAGATGTTGATGTTTCAGCTACTAGTCCAGTTAGGTTCTGCACATGGAATGGGGCAAAAAGATTCTCACCATTCCTCTTGAGCAGCAACACATCTTGGTCTGGCTTTGATAAAAAGAGACTATCTCCATTTGCTGTGATCTTTCTGTAAATCAGAACAACTTTGTTCCCAGTAGTAAAGCTCAGTAAGTTAAAGGCTGACATTAGGACTATTGTGGAGAAAGGAACAGTAAATGTCATTTGTTGAACACAGAAAGATTAGAGCAAAACATACTTAAATTTTGAAAGGATGTTTAGGCAGCTGGTTATGTAGGATGGCCCTGGGCAGAGAAGTGTTGACATTTTGTTGATATCAGCAGCAGATGTAATTTGGAAAACTACTTCCACTCCAGTCATGAACTCAAGAGGGAATTTTCTCTCCATCAGTTATAAGATTAATAATGGGCTATTCGCTGTGGCAGTTCTAAGGATAAAATGCTTGAATATTTATATTGGCATACAATATATCGTATTATGATTATGACAGCAATTCCAAGGGGCCCTAAAAAGAGAAAACAGTCAAGTTCTCAGCTTCTCTGTAGAGTTCTTACAGGGATTGGAATTCTTAAGATCTCCTAAGAAAACTGCTTTCTGATCCCACCTGCTGTTAAAGCACAACAGCTGAGTTGTGTGTCCTTACTCAAAATAACCAACCATTGTGATATTATCTTGTGGTGAGCCTCAAAGGATGCACAGTGGTTGGAGTAAGCAGCTGAGCTGGGTTGGCAGCTGAGACAAATTGTCCCAATGGATTTCTGAGAGGGAAAAGGTGGGTAGTCACAAGAGTTTGGCTCTGATTAGATGGTTCCTCTAGCTCAGGGGTGTCAAACTGCTGGCCCACTGGCTGGTTGCATCACGTGGAGGCCATGCTCACTCCAGCTCCGGCAATGTGAAAAAAGTCACGATATGTTGTGACACGTCACGTGACGCAGCGGGTTTGACACCCATGCTCTAGCTACTAGCTCTCTATTGATTCTTATGGTTGACAAACATGTGATTGTAGTGATTAAAGCCACTAGGCTGGAAACAAGAGACCATGAATTCTAGTGCTGTCTTAGGAACAAAGCCAGTGGGTGAGTTTGGGCCAGCCGTACTCTCTTGACAATGGCAGGCCACTCCTAAAAAATAATACCAAGAAGTAAAACTGATTGAAAGGCATGCACATATACCAAAATACTCCTGTAATTTGGATAATTTGGAGAGATAATTCAGTGTAGTCCCTTGGATTGCTATAGCTATATAGGCCATAAATATTCCTGGGACATTACTTCCAAAGGCAAACAAACTTAAATATTTAATTCTATAGAAATCAGTTGGTCATATAGTGAGAAGGAGGGAACAGTTCCAAATAGTCAGGAGCTCTGAAGCTTAGAACATCTCATTTCTCTCCATTCCAAGCCACCCTCAGAATCACCTTCTTGATAAAATATTTGGCATAATTTTCTATTCTATATTGCAATTTAGCTTGTGATTATTTTAAAGATATACAGCATGAGAATCATTTACTGTTGCATTGTATATATTCCTGCCTTCTCTTTCTTCTTCTCCACTCTCCTGATTGTTTTCTGGAGCTGTAAACTGCTCAGGCAAAGTTCCCTAATATTCTGTAAATCACAATCACACTACTGATGCAGTATATATAATTAGTAGTTCATTCAATAGTCTTGCTATTATGAAGGGAGAGAAGATCTTGTGGTATTTTAATTAGCCTTCCTGGGTTAACCAAACGAATTAAGATTAAAATTCTGACTGGCTGAGTGAACTCTGAGAGTTTTATTCTCAAAACATTTAAAAGATACCAGCTTAGAGGACATTGTTTTGGGGCAACTAGTTAATTGAGTTGCCTAGGTTTTCATGGACAAAAACATTTCATTCAATACATCAAAAATGATAGATACAGCTGGAGCTATCTCTACAGTATATATTTCAAATATACAGAAAGTAAGGGCTATCAAATTTGGGTTATCAAAATCTCACTTTGTAATTATAGAATAGTTAAATATTGTAACTACTGTATTGTAATTGTAATATTGTAAATTGTGAAGCTTTGCTATCATCTAGTGGGCAACCAGATTTTTGCAACCCAGATCTAGACCCAAAACACAAAGCTTTCTTGCATTGCAGCCTTGTCCATAAATCAGCTAGAAATAGCATAAGAGGTTGGCATAATAAATCCTTTTCTGGCTTTCTACTACTTCCTCCACTTTGGACAAAGTGATGATCCGGTGTTCCACCTTTCACCATTCCGCTGGCAGCCCAGCTTATTCCATCTCAACTTTTGGCTTCTTTTCTACCCTGTCACCAGGGATTCCAACCCACCTCTATCAGAAATGTGGTACAGAGGTAGACAGAAATCTGTTGACTGGCTTATCATCAAGGTTTACCACTTTACAGGTTGATCATGCTTCCAATCACAACACCACACAGGAAAGGAATAGGCACAATTTGAGAGCAACCCAAATCTGAAGACTGCCACACTACAGATAACACAACTATCATACAGTAGCTCATAGTAGCAGGCATTAGAAAGATCCCACTTCTACAGAATGTAATACAGTCCACCATGGACATGAAGATGACATTAATGGAGATGGGAGTGGTTGCAATACTTTGTGCCCGGAAATTCCTCAATTATCTGTTGTATTCATCTCATCTTCATCATACACTTTACAGCTTTGGGAAAGGCAAGTGGTCCTGGCAACCATGTGTGGAAGCATTTTTCCTCCTTTAGACTATTTTCTTACTAGTTATAATGGTGGCCTATGCATCTTCCACCTGCAAAGCTTGCCAAGATGTTCCAGAATAATTCGCCAACATGTTGGAAATGTAAAAAAGTACATGGAACATATTATCATCTATGGTGGACATGCCCAGTTGCAAAAAAATACTGGTCTACAATAAGAAAATGGATCCAAGAAATAATAGACCAACCTGTAGACTGGAAACCAGAGATCTTTTTGTTGGGTATTTTAAATAGAAAATATAGTAAAGAAATATGGTATTTAGTTTTACATATAATAATAGTGACAAGAATAGCATATGCACAGTGCTGGAAAAATGAGAATATACCATCAGAGGAAGAAGTAATAAGAAAAATCCTGGACTATGCTGAGATGGACAAATTAACAAAAGAGATAAAAGAAAAGGAAGACAAAGAGTATTATATAGTATGGAACAAGGTGTATGTCTGGTTGGAGACTAGAAATAATAGAGGAGAATAAATATGGAAAGGTCAAAGTGAAAATATGTGTACAATAATGTGTAATAATAATAATATGAATTATTCTTAGTAAAAAATAGAACATGAAGGAAGAAAAATGTAAATAAGAAATAATGGGGCTATAAGGACAAATATTTAAAGAAGAATAAGGGGGAAATGTAAATATTAGATTACTGTTACATAACTGTTGTAAAAAAAGGAGGAGTATATATTGTGTGTGTATGTGTGTTATGTTTTGCTTTGTTTTGTTTTGTCTTGTTGGTTAAAAATAAAAATTTAAATATATATATATATATATAATGGTGGCCTATGCATTATGACTAAGGTGACCAATTTTTTTACAATGAAAAGGAGGACACAAATAAATTGAAGAAAAAAATATCATAAATAAAAGAAACATTTTATTCATTGCAACAATAATACAGACAACTTGCATGTGGAAAGTTTGCCAGCCGAGTGTTTTGGCGCACTCAGCAGCAATTCCTATTGGCTTTTGAAAGCCAATAGTGGGAGTAGTACAGCTCATGAAAAAATTGAAAACAAAACCCATAAAAAAGGTGCTGGAACGCCGTTCTGAGCGTTCTATGAGGGGAAAAAAAAAGCCCTGCAGATTAGTCTTCAGATATCGAAAAGGAGGACATGAAGGAGAACACTTTTTGAGGGAGGACAGAACTTACAAAAGGAAGACTGTCCTCCCTAAAGGAGGATGGTTGGTCACCTTAATTATGACACATCATGAAAGGGAAACAGTGTTTGATATAATTGCACTATTCTTTGACAATACTAATGATTAAAATGCTTTTTTTTCTTGGACTTTCCTAGATATATAGTATAATAAACATTAAAGGGACTCTCTATGCCAAAATCCAAGGACCCTGTCAGAAGGACTCTGCGTGTGGGTAGATTTGCATACATTTTGGGTTTGTACTTCATTATAAAGGATATGATACTGTGACACCAAAAAAACAGGACTGGATTGAGACAAAGTCCCATAGTGATCTGTGCCAAAGGGAGTATACTACACTGTGTGTTCCCTACTACCCAGATCAAGAATAGGTGAGTTTCTGTTGGGTGGATAAATGGTTTGAAGTGAATGACAGGGCAGGTTATTTTTATATACACACAGACTCACACACACACACACACACTTCCATTTTTATATATGTGGGGGAAGATAGGGAAAAGTGGGTGGGAGGATTTGAGGCAGTCTTTCTTTCTGGGCAGCCTCCAGAGTTCATCAGAGTCTTCAGTGGAACATTCCTAATATTATAGGGAGAGATCAAAGAAAGATAGAATGAGAAGGTACATCCAGCAAAACTGACTATAAAGATTTCATTTGGAATTCTGTTATTGTATCTTTCAATACTTCTTGCTACACCATTTCTTCCAATCTATACTTCAGCATACACATTTATATCATAGAGACAAAGAGAAAAATAGTGCTTTTGTGTTCTCTGAATTACCATCTTGCTGAATGCAAATAAAGTATTACAAAGCAAGATCTGAATGGAGACTTAATCATTACACCTGTGAGCCCCATTTCCCTTACTTTTACCTTCCCCCACATATATAAATAGGGTACTCAAAGTATAATCTAGCCACTTTAAAGATGTAGTGTTCTATTGGTAGGTCAATATTTGGCAAACATTTGCTTAGAGTCCTTTCACCTTTCTCTAAGTAGAGCGGGGGCCAGATGATGTGTTGTATCCTTCCTGCCTTATCAGTCCACATATTCTCAAAGCATTGAAATTGTCTCCTCCTCCCCTGCTTGTTGACTTTTGATTCGACAATTGCTTCCAACCTGAGGTGACTTTACATCTTTTCCCTCTGTCAAGCAAAGCTAGGAATGGCCATCCTATCCATTTTTAAAGAAATGACTGAAGGGTAGATGTCCAGTTATCCCTCTTTTGGCTTTTCAGTCCATTTTGCACATGGAAACTGAATAAAGAGTGAAACAAAAACAAAAAAAGATGTAAGATGTTTAGGCTTACTATTTCTGAGGATTGATACCCCTCACTTGGGATTCTCTGGAGTTGGCAGAGGAGCTCCGAGATGCTGGTAGCTTTCTTCACCAGAGATGTTGGGATGGAGTAAGCAAACCAATGCTGCTTCTGCTTTTGTTATCCATATTTTTTCTGTGATACAATTCAAAGACAGACCTCTCTCTTAAAGGATTCTGGCTAGAGTGTGGACCCACTGCGGTCAATGCTTGGTATATTTGCAGCCTCAGTGGGGCCAAAAGAGGATTAATGGTTATATGGCACAAGACACAGAGGATGCCTGTCTAAAACAGAGATTACCCCTCCCCCCCCGGTAAAAAATATTGGTGAATGTGTTCTTTTACTATGCCCGGTAGAGCGCAATTGTCATCTTGCTCTTGAGGGGCTTGTAGGAACATTGCCTGATGCTGCTATGGCTCTCCCACTCCTTGGCAGAAGCCATTGTCTGCAACTTTGAAGATGCAAGTGGTCCCTGTAGTGGAACTCTTGAAAAGGAGGAGACAAACTCTCTTCTCCTCTTGCAGCCCCAGATGGACATGGAATTGATAGTTTGTACAGATTATATAGCTGTACATGCCAAGGCCCAAACCCACCACTGGCCCTCTAAGACTCAGCACCTGCTTCCATATATAATGTGGCTTTGGCTGATGTGAATCAATCAATTGCAATTACCAGCAAGTCCTGCATCTTCTTCTGAATGGGTTCCAGATTTAGTTCCAAAGGGTGGGGGACTGAAGGAATAAACTAAATACCTGGACTAAAACCTCCAAATGCCCTTAACTCAAGAAAGCCTACTTAATAGCTTTTTAGGCTTAGCATTTACAGATGCTGACTCACAAATTAGTTTAAATCAGCACTTATATTTTTAGATGGAAACTAGAAAGTAACTAACACAAAAACTGACTTTATTATTCTGCTTATCTCGCTATTAACAGAAACTCTAACCCATGTTGTGATTGGTCTTAGATATTATTACTGGTCAGCATTTATTATACAACTATATAAAGATTTATCCTCCTTGAGTGAGCAGAACCTTGTAGTTTATCCCCAGTGCTGTTCAAGTAAACTTGGCTCAAGCAGATTGTATGGCCTTCATTTGTAATTTGGGTAGTGGGGAAATTATCTCCTTCACTTTCAACTGGCTTGCTTCAAGCAGAAGTACTTTGCTTGTTGGTCTTTTTTGGATCATCAGCTGGTTCAGGTGAGAACAACAAAGGGTTTCTTGTTTTGGACTATGTGGAGCCCTGTGGATTGAGAATAGTAGTTGGAGCTTATCCAACAGTACAAATACTATTACAGAACACATACAGAGATGCAAGAATATGGGAAGTTAGTTGTTTTTGAAGGTGAACATGCCAATGCACTCAAGGAGCAAATGTCAGTGTGCCATGCACTAAATCAGGGGTCTTCAAACTTGGCCCTTTTATGACTTGTGGACTTCAACTCCCAGAATTCCTCAGCCAGCATGCCTGGCTGAGGAATTCTGGGAGTTGAAGTTCACAAGTCATAAAAGGGCCAGGTTTGAAGACTCCTGCACTAAATCAATAGCAACCTTCATGGCTTGGGACCAGGTTATTTGAGGGACTGTCTCTTGTCGGTCACATCTACCCAACCCACTAGAGCAGGGAGGCAAGGAATGTTGCAGGTCCCGTCCCCTAAGGAGATACATCTGGCGGGACCCAGAAGAGCCTTCTTCATGGGGGCTCCCTCTCTCTGGAACGTCATTCCCCCAGAAATTAGACTGGCCCCCCTCTAATGCTGAAGACCTGGTTCTGCCAGCAGGCCTGGGGAACCCAGAGTGGGATAGAGCCCATTAAATGGTTAGTTTGAATGTGTGTTGTTGCTGGGGTGGAGGGTTATTGTTTCATTATTTTATTATTTTTCTTCTTGTTATTTTTTCTTCTTTTTATATGGTGTTTTTATATCTGTGTAAGCCGCCTTGAGTCATCATGTGTGAGTAGACGGCAATGTAAATTTTCTAAATAAAAACTACATGAAATGTTAGGTACTTGGAAAGAAAAGTTTGCAGTATGAATTTGAGCTCCATTGTAACAATTCATTCCTTATCACTCATGATTTGCATCCCAAAGCAAAACAAATGTCCAGGATACTCCTGACCAAGGTTGGATACATAGATCTCTTACTGAAGTTTGACCTAGAAGCAACGTGAACCTTCAGTGGAGTCAATCCTGGGTCTGCTGCATCATCTCAAAGCTGTCTAAATATCCCTCAAGCTCCTGCTATTTTTACTTGCTGAATCCATCCAGAGGACCCTGCAGAAAAGACATGGAGTTGCAACCTAAGGAAGTGACAGCCACATATCCGGAATGCTTTTGTACTGATGTGTGTGAATTATTTTTTTCAGGTTTCACAAGCAACAAGTACAGTAAAATTCCTGTTCTTTAATATCTGCATCACAAACCCATGTACTGTTAGATCTTAATAGGCTGAAAGATACCTAGGAGCAATCTCTCCATACGTAACAGGTGTTGATCATCCTGCTCGGTTTGCCACTGGCCCCTCAACCTGTCTTCCTGTTGCCAAAGGAGAGGAGGGCAGTGCTAGATTTATGGCCTGCCATCATGCCCATCTTGTAGTTGAAATAAATACATTTGTAGCTTCTTGAATTTGCTTAGCACCTGATCAAGAATATTTACACACCCTCCCTTCCACAACTTCCTGATTTTTTTGTTGTATGTCAAGGCTGACTGAGAAGTGTGCTGGTGACCAAGATACCACCCAGTGACAGGAATATGAGCCACCATTGTGTTTTCCTCCCACAAGTACTACCTCACCCTAGCAGTTCTGTTCACAGTGGGGAACTGTGCAGTTGAACTGAAGTCCCATGGAACAATACATGTTATCATGGGAGCAAAGATTTGCCACACTGCATTTGACATTGGTTATAACAGTAATGGAAGAGAAATAGCACTAAGGAAATCACTGCAAAGGAACTAGAGAGGTTGGCCAACAGGTGATAGACATGGCACAACAGTGTGGGATGAAATGGGGGTGGGTGGAAAATTCTCATGATGCTTTTATTCCAGACATGCCTTCCTCCTCACCTACAACCTATTGGCGGGATTACTTTTGAACATGGATTTAATACTCTTCCTGATATGATGGGTCTTTGCTCAGAAATGATACAGCTGACAGATTAGAGCTGAGACCTGTTGCACTTCTTTCTGCAACACAACAGGTAGAAGAAACTGGAAAAATCCTCAGAGAGCTTTCCTTCACTAACCTCCTGTTAAATCAATAAGAGCGGGCACCATTTGTTGGTTTGATTAATGGGGTAGAACAAGGCACAGTAAATTGGGCAAGAAATAATTACCTCACAATCTTTACCTGTGGCTATATCTTCTCAGAAAATGTCAGAAAGTTTGGAATCAAATGGTAGAAAAAAAGAATACATAGATGTCAAATTAAAAATACAACTGAATCAATTTAGAACTGTCAAAAGAGAAATAGCAGTCATTCAATGCTTCACCTTATCTGTATTTCAATTATATAAAAGCTCTCTGAAGATAAATTAGGTCAATTAGAATATTGAAGTTTTGTTGTGAAAAGGAAAACATTTGGCATAAATAAGTTCCATCATCCCCAGCAGGTACACATAGAAAATATACATTAGGCATGAGTACAATTTATGAATGCAGTTTAGTCTTTTTTAAAACAGCTGCTAGAATTTGAAATCCACCAATATATGCAAAACAGCAGCTGGCAGAATCAATTGCCTTTTGTAAATTTTGAACTCCACCTGATCTACAGAAACAGATATAAGTCTCTGATTTACATCAAAATAGCCTTTCCAACCTTCTAACTGAGAATTGGTGGGTGGAATTTCTGTGGATGCTATTGCTCAATGGGTAAGACCCTGAAATATTTCCTGCTCTCCATCAGTGTGCCAGTAAATTCCATTCCAACCTCTGCTCTTCCCTATTGATCAGGTCTAATGAGTAATTCGAATTCTGTCTCTGGATATGTACTGTATTAGTGCTGTTTGATTGTCATGTATTTCAGCAAAATGGAGGTTTGTGGTATCCAGGTCAAAGTTATTTTTTTTTATTGCACTAGCAGTCTTATATAATTAAAACTAATAAAAATACATTTTAAAAAAATAAACTGGAACTGACAGAGCTGCAAAGAAAGATTTATTCAGAAGCCTGTACCAGATGGCATTCCATATTAGCAGGCACTCCAAGCCATGTGGAAAGTAGCCTTTGCTCTCAAATTACATAATTCTATGTCCTGCTTCCCAGCAAGCAACACTATGATAGCCTGGTCAGCATAGAAAGAGCAGGAGGCCCTCTGATGGTTACTGCAGCTTATAGCAATGCTGTAGCATTTGGCAAAGAGCGATGCTTCTTGTGCACATTTTTATGCAATACTCAGTCTGCATTGCTGAAAATCTTAATGATGCTGGGATTGGGGCTGTGCTGTGCTTCTGTAATATCCTCCAAAAAAGCAGTGAGGATCCAAAAAGAGGTTTGCATTGCCAAATGGTCTGCTGTAAGAAGATGAGAAGCCCAAGATAAAGATGAAATGAAATCCTGCAGGTCCTTGCAAGTTCAAATGCTTTGGGGCACTTAATATCATTTTTACTCACACCCCTTTTGAGGCATTCTATAAAAATCCAGCTAGGTAAATGCTTGCAATTATTTCCCCCCTCCCCAAAGCCTGTGTAAACAAAGCCCCGGCCCTGTTGGTTAAAAAGCCATGATAATGTCAAAATGCTGACATATGCCATATTATCATTACATAAACAACATCATTACATAACATGCACCATTACATCATTCTGTTGTGTGTGTAGCCATTTAATTTCTTTCACGCACACACACCCAATAAACACTCATATCTGAAACTGCAACATTATATTTACTTTCCTGAGAGTAAGTACCGGGATTTACTATATTTCTGCAGGCTGAATTATATGGGGATGGGTAGTGAGGAAAGAGGCCACCATCTGCCCCAATGTTCTCTTCAAAATAGCTGGTAAAGAAGCATAAATTGTAAAAGAACAGTATAATCAAATCAGTATTAAAATTGTGATTAAAACAATTTAACAATTTGAAAAGTCGGCAACGGAGAGATTTGTGCCATTTTCCTAAATACTGGGAGAATGGGGGCCTAATGTACCTCACTGGGGAAGAGATTCTCTATGGCAGGGGTCTTCAAACTTGACCCTTTTATGACTTATGGACTTCAACTCCCAGAATTCCTCAGCCAACCATGCTGGCTGAGGAATTCTGGGAACTGAAGTCCACAAGTCATAAAAGGGCCAAGTTTGAAGACCCCCTGCTCTACAGCCTGGAAGTTATACAGAAGAAATGCTCTCATGTACCAGATAGCTGAGCTTTTGGCAACAGGGTTCTCTTCAGAAGAGAAGATCTGCAGATCTAAGTAATCAGGCATGTTCATAGTAGATGAAATTGATTGTTTCCTCAAATGAATAGACCCCAAACCATTTAGACTTTAAAGGTCAACGTCTTAAATTGTATCCAGTAATCAATTTGCAGCCTGTGCAATTATTTAATATGAATGTCACGTATTACATCTTGCACTGAGTAGCAACTTGGTCATCATGTTTTGCTCTAATTGCAATGTCCATAATCCTTTCAATGCGTAGGATATATTGTGATCTTTAAAATAGGTTATAGCCAAGTAAGTGTTGCCAAATTCAATCAACTCAAAAGTATCACATCTGGTTCAGTAGCCACCATTGTGCAAATATTTTGACACAGTTATGTGCAACTCCAGTGACAGCTGGGGGAACAAGGACCATTCCCAAATTGTGAACCTGCTTTTTCTGAGGCAGTATAGCCGCATTCAAAACTAGCTTCATCACCATCTCTGAGTCCAGCTTTCTCCTTATTAAATAGCACCTCCAGCTGGTTTGGATTTAATTAATTTATTTTTATTTATTTATTAAAGTTATATACCACCCATCTCATGCTAAAAAGAACTCTTGAGTGGCTTACAACTAAAATCATAAATAAAAAGATACTAAAATTTAAAGAACATTAGATACAGAGACAAGAAGCAAAAGGCAAGATTGATAGGGTGGTAGTATCTTCCCTGTTGATCCACCACCCATCTCCAACCTACAGCACCTCTGTCTGGACCCTAGGCCAACCTGCAGCCCCAGGTTTAAACAACCTTCCAGGAGGCCAAAAAACCCTCACCTCAAAGTGCAAGATATTCCAAAAAGCAGGGGCCACGACAGAAAAAACTCTCCTTCTAGACCTCATCAGCTGAAATTCTTTGATCAATGGGGTCCACAGCATGCCCCTCCTGCTGGATCAAGTGGGTCAGACCAACAGCATTGGAGTGAGATGGTTCCTCAGAATACCTGGTCCTGTGCCATGAAGGGCTTTAAAGATAATGATAACCAACCTCCTTGAATTGGACTTGGAAACAAAGTTGATATCAATGGAGTTTGCATAATGGCACTGTTATGTGTGCTCTTAGAGAGATGACCAGGGCATGAGTGATTGAGAGCAGGGCCTCACAATCCAGGAGAGAGTGCAACTGGTGAACAACTTTGGCACTCCTAGTCACAAGTGTTATATGCTCAGAGCAGGAATTGTGAGTCCATTCCACACTGAGTCTCTCAGGAATAGTATAACAATCCAAAACTAAAAACGAGCTCCCAGATCTTGAGGTTCCAGGCACCCACAACCACTTTGTCTTACTAGGGTTCAGCTGAGGTCTGTTGTCCTCTATCCAGATCCCCACAGCCTCCAGGTACCATGAGAGGGCAGCCACAGCAATACTTGGGTCATCCAGGATGGAGATGTATACTTGAGTAACATTAGTTTACCTTAAGACACCTCATCCTGTGGTGTCATATGATCTCACCAGAGGCTTCATGTAGATGTTAAAGAAGAATAGAGTGTGCTGAGCTCTGTAGCACCCCATAAAGGAGAAGATGTGGCTAGACTTTTTGTGCCCTATCAACTAAGGTGACCAACTGTCCTCCTTTAGGGAAGACAGTCCTCCTTTTGTGAGTTCTGTCCTCCCTCGAAAAGTGTCCTCCTACATGTCCTCCTTTTCGATATTTGAAGACTAATCTACAGGGCTTTTTTTTCTCATAGAATGCTCAGAACAGCGTTTCGGCACCTTTTTTTTGATGTTTTTTTTTTCAACTTTTGCATGAGCTGTGCTATTCCCCCTATTGGCTTTCGAAAGCCAATAGGAATTGCCGCTGAGCGTGCCAAAACTCCCGGCTGGCAAACTTTGCACATATAAGTTGTCTGCAGCAAAGGCGAATTGGCAGGAACTTTGCACCCCTCCCTGCTACCCAACTACACCATCTCCTAGTTAGTCCCGAAGATACCTGGAGGAGACTGGAGCAGCGATGCCACGGTAACTTTCTCTTGATCTTTGGCCCTGCTAGGCCAATAATGGCTGCGGGCGCAAGAGACAGGGGCGGTGGGGTTGCTGCTAGTGGGGGTGTGAGGGGCGGAGGTGGCCGGCTGCCCCCTGTGCTGTGGGAGCGGCGGGGCCTGCTCTAAACGGGGCTATGCAGGGTGGGCGGTGGTGCTGGCGGGGCGGCTGCAGGTGGGGTGTGTCGATGGCAGGCTGCCCCCCTGGGGCCAGAGCCAGTGCAGCTGGTGCTTTGGGAGCCATGGGGCCCGCTTTACACGGCAGGGCAGCAGTGCTGGCAGGGCGGCTGTGGGCGGGGGCACGGCATGTAAGCATAATTACAATATAAAATGTTATTGTTACAAATGTTTTTTATTATACATTTATCATATTATGGTATATTCTGTATTATTGTTGCAAGGAATAAAATGTTTCTTTTATTTACAATATTTTTTTCTTCAATTTATTTGTGTCCTCCTTTTCATTGTAAAAAAGTTGGTCACCTTACTATCAACACAATTGGGACCAGCCTTGGACAAAGGAGGCAATCCAGCATAAAATTGTCCCATCCAGCTCCAAGTCCCGTAGCCACCCCAAAAGAGTACCATAGTTGATGTTATTGAAAAACAAGAGGTCAAGGGGAACAAGGATGGATGCACTACCCATAAACTGCTCTCACCAGAGATCATGTACAAATGAAATCAGTGCTGTTTCTATCCCATAATCAGGTCAGAAGCCTTGACTGGAAGGGATTCAGATAATCAGTTTTGTCCAGAATCCTCTTTACCTATAGTGCAAGCACCTTTTCCACCACCTTCCCTAAAAAGAGATAGTGAAAACAGGACAAAAACTATCTAGACAGGGGAGGTCAAATGACAGTGTCTTGAACAGTGATCAAACCAAGGCCTCCTTAAACGGGGTCAAGAACTTCTACAGTGATGAATTAATGGCTGTTAAACCCACCTGGATGTCATCACCCTTGAGACTTTCATCAATCAGGAGGGATAACAATTTAATAAGTAGGTGATTGTGCTAACAGCCCCAAGGACTTTGTCCAATTCCTCAGACCCAACAGGGTCAAATCAAATCAGGAGGGATAACAATTTAATAAGTAGGTGGTTGTGCTAACAGCCCAAGGACTCTGTCCAATTCCTCAGACTCAACAAGGTCAAATTGCTCCCAGATAACAGAGTAAGCATACTCCCTTGATGATTCCAATGGACCTGTCCCATATTTGGTCTCCAACTAAGAACAAATCCAAGTGATTTTATCCTTCAGGTGTTCAGCAAATTCCTCCAGCCCAGAAGGTAATCAATCCCCTGAGCTCTGCTGACCCAGGAGGAACTGGGTGATCCTCAACAAGGCTGCTGGGTGACACTCTGTGAATGCAATAAAAGGGGAGAAATAATGCTAATTCGCTGCCCTTGCCACCGTGAGGTAGGCCTTAACAGTGACTCTAACCCCTGCTTGGTCAAACTTGTCCTCATTTTCCTCCAGCAGCGCTCTAATTTCAGCTCACCCTCCCTCATCCATCCCACTACCAAAATTTGGTAATGTTCAAGGATAGTAATTATTTCCTTGGGATTGGCTGGCAGGGAACCCCAACCAATCCCAAGGAATTTTGATTTTACCGCATGGCAAAATTCTGAACCAGCTTCCCAGCAGTTTCAGAGATAATTTTAAATAGCCTAGGAGAGAAGACAGTAGTCTGTAAATTAGTGTAAGTCAACAACAATCTAGATATCAAACTGTAGTCCCTCAGCACCACCTTCTGACTGCATCCTGTCAGGAAGCATCATTCCATGGTTGGGCAACATTAGCATAGACAGTGAAATATTTCAAATTCAGAAATCTAAGATCCATTTCCATACTAGAAATCATTCTGGCTACACCAGGAAGAAAGATTGTTGTGAAGTGAAATGCAATACAGTACTACTATCCTAGCCCAACCATCCAGCAACAAACTCATAATTAACAGAGAATTGGATGGAGTTCCTGGCAACAAAATAGAATTCTTGTAGACTACAGCCACTCTCTCATCCATTCTCCAGGCTAGGACTGCTGCATTATAGAGGAACAGACAGAAATAAGAAGATTAATTATCCTGTCATCTCTCAGCCAGATCTCTATAATATATGTAAAAATCAGCATTTTCATCCTATAATAAATTCTGGATAATGGATATTTCACTAGCAATAGATATTAAAAAGGAGGACTTTTCTATTGGAGGGCCCCACTTCTTGGGATTTTACATCTTTAATTAATAACACATTCTAAATTAATAAAATTATGAGATTTATGTAAATCCTCCATTAGAGCTCCAACTTACCATTAGTGTTCCTACATAAAAGCTAGAAGTGTGTCCTTCCATAAAGCAAATTCCTTTATTGTCAGTTCTTCAACAATGATTCCATTGGTCCAGGAGAACTTTCAGTGCTTGATGGACAGTTGATGGAATCTTTGAAAAATACTTTCAGCAGGAAATTGGAGTCTTGGGTATAAGACAGAGACCATTTCTTCGCTATGTTAAAGGGTTTTATGATTCTTTGGTTGCTATGTTTTTTATTTTTTTAAAAAAAAGTTTTAGTAATTGTATGTATTTTATTTATTTTAAAAGTTTGCACCACCCAGGGTTGTCTATGTGAGATGGGTTGCCATATAAAGTGAATAAATAAAAAAAATAAGCAACAATATTCCTGCTCTTGCAAAGACATCTGGCTAAATAGTTGTTACTTTCTCAGCTTCTCTTCAAATAGTTGCTGGGAAATTAACGTTGTGTTTGAAAGTGCAAATACTTTTAAGAATTAGAATAATAATGTTATAACAATATAGTTATGGCTCATACTTATTCTCCTTAAAATAAATAGATGATGAAACTTTTACATGAAAAATTCTAGAAACAAATAGTCCTAATAGTCCTCCTTAATTGGTGCCATAGTCAAATGCTAATTATTATGAAGTTTTTGGAAGATTCTGTTGAATTTCTCTTTCTATAACTTAAATTTTATGTTATTTTATTTTGTGTCCAACACTCTGGAGCAACAGGAAATAAGATTTCTGCATGCTGCCTTGAGCTCCTAAATATCAATCACTTATTTATTAAATCAAGTCCTTTTTAATATTTGAAGAATGCTATTTGAAGAATGCTGTTTCCTGTTCTCATGCCTAATTTATTCAATCTCTCTTTACAATATTTTAAAACCTGATTTCATGCAAATAAGCCATGCATACATTCAATTTACTGGTATATTTCACTTTTCATTTTTTTAAAAAAATAAAAACAAAATCAATGTGAAAATCAGTTAATACAAGTCTAGTCAAAGAGAATACATTTTTGGCTGCTCAAAGCCAGAGAGTGAGGTCCAAGTACAATTTCCAAAGGAATAGCTATAAATGTAATTTTCTTGCTTTCCAGACAGTTTCAAGCACTCAATAAATATTCATGCAGTATCTGAGAGAAATATCCATCACATACACAAAGGCAGATGTAGTAATCTCAGCGCTTCCCTCTACTGGAGAAAGAGAAATGAATTTGGGAGAAGTTGGACAAGAAATTGAACTGGGTTTGGGAAATCCAGAGGATTAACATTATTCTTCCCAATAGCCTCAGAATTAGTGTATTGGAATCCTCAGGAAATAGGTAATTCAAGAAAAATGAAGAGAAGAAACTTCAAATAGCATTGCTGTGAAGAAACAGATAATGTTTAAGCCAGGAATTTGTTTTAGATCTCTTTTTCTCTAACATGGTGCTTAGCTAAGTCTTGCTCTATTTCTATGTATTAATTATGAAGCTGGGTTTTATGTCAGTGTTGACTCAAACCTCAGGCGGTGTACAAGTCTTCATGAAGATATATTATTTTCTCTATGTTTTCTTTCCAGGATCTGTAATTTTTTAAATCTCCCCAGTCACTCGTACATATAGTTTCTGACTGGAAATAAATCATTTGAAGCAAACCAGCCCCATAATTTTCTTCTGTAATTCTCTTTTATATTTCTGTCTTTAATCCAAATTGCTCTATCATTATCTACCAGCATTTAGTATACTGTATACCTGTTAAGATAAAAAAGGAATATTATATATTACCTTTTTCAAACCAGAGTTTGATTTTGTCTATTTCTTGCAATATTTGTTTCATCTGCCAAGGAAAGAGACATGTTTCTTGAAGATTCTAAGTTACAAAGCTAAGAACCTACTTTATAGAGATTATTTCCTTTAAAAACTTTTAGCCACCAAAAGGCAGCTCAGAGTCTACCACCCTTATCTCTCTCAAACAGCAGGACTGGGGGAGGACCCCATATGAAGTACCCTTTGAAAAACAGTTGTGACAGTGGGAACAACCAAGCTTATATACCCCCAAATAGGAGGATAGATTGTAGTTTGAAGACTAAAAGGACTTCTGGAAGAGAGTTATTACACCCAAAGATTGCATACGATGTACATCATCTTCAGAAAGGCCTCTCTTACTGTTCTTAACATAATACTGAGGTATTTGTTGATTTGCAAATGTATTATTATTATTCATCAACGAAAATTAACTCTTGGAGACAAAAACAATTTTAAAACTATAGACTGATTACCAAGTATTGTGGCTTCATGAGACTATAGATGGAATCTCACTATCAAACAACATTAACTCATACAATAAGAATGCTTTTTTAAAATCCAGAATAAGCTTATTCTTTATAGAAAATACAAAGTGAGGGAGTTTGATACAATATAGTAGAAATGCATTTGAATATCCTGTGAATTTGAAGGCAAATGCTAGTTATGGGAAGAGATGAGGTGATGAAATAATTAATAGATTATAAGAAATGTAAAGAATGAGGATGTAAAATATTTTGTAACTAGCTGATATAGATAGCTATTTATCACATCTCAACAATGAAGAAATCCAGAGTGTCTAGTACAAGCACAACATCCTGGGATCTCTTCAGTTCATATTGCATTCAGACTTGAGTATACACAAATAAATTTTAGGATTTAAGTGCCTGTGATGTGATCATAGCCATAATGATATATATGGAGAATCTAAGCTGGTCAGGATAGATAAGATGAACATAGAGTAAAATGTGGCATTTAGATAAAAGCACTATCTTAATTGCAGAGACAAGGAAAATATTATTCTGAGCTTTGAATTAAGATTTCTCTTCCTAATAATATTTTAATAGGATATCTAAATGGTCCAAATATTCAAATCTCGCAAATTCCAAATATACCTTCAGATATAAAATGAAATAATCACAAAGTACGAGAACTATTTAGTGCAATAAATTAATTATCTATTTATTCTAAATCCACTGCATAGATTTCATAATGAAAAATACTTAAAAACTAAATTGCTGCATTGTGGTTATAATAGTACATTATTCTTTAATCTCTCCCTGTGTCTGATGCCAATTACCAATTCACAGAGACTCTGTAGCAATATGGAACGTATTTCTCACTATAAGGCATGAAAATATTACAAGAGATAATAGAATTTGATCCTTTTATTTTATTGGATGTATATGTATTTGTGAAGTTACCACTCATTATCCATGGAACTATTGAAGGAAATATTGGTAAATTATGTTTTAGTTTAATAAAATTATGTTTTAGTTTAATATTCATTCATATTATATCACCTGTTATATTTATACCAACTTCGGATCTTTCGGGTTTTATAATGATAGGCTTTCTGTGAACATCTGTGTAAGAAAATGCAATATGCTAGTTCCAACATCTCTTGAACAAATATTCCAGCTGTATAATTTGAATTTGTGCCGAAATCTGAATCTTTGCCATTTTTTTCTTGTTTTGCACACTGCCCTATAATTCTGCTTAGATTTCATTCTGAACACTGAGATTATTAAGTCACAGTTATCACTCATATTCCAATGGACAGGCAAGCCCCACCCTTAGGAAACATTTGCTTTTGGGCACCTAAGTCCACAGGGCAGTGATAATTCAGCTCCTTTTTGCTGATTGGCATCCATATCTCATACTATCAGACATCAGTCATACTCTGAGTCAGATTTCCCTATAAAGAGCCTTTTATCTTGTTGATATCACAACCTATGCACACTGAGACTCCTAGATTGGCAGGGCTGAAGTTGCAGGATAGTTCAGCTGAAGTCTAACAGGAGAAAAAAAAATAGGATGCTGAGTCTGTGCTTAATTTTCAATAAAAGCATAATGTAGAGGAAAATGGGGGTTATGGAAAGACAAAACAATGGCTGAAAAAATGGTCAGTAGAACTTACTCATCTAACGTTAGTGTCAATGAAAGAAAATCTCAGTTAAAAACACTCTTCTTTTGGGCCTCCCAATTTGTGTTGTTGGTCTCTAGCTCCTTGAATTCCTAGTCAATTTGTCCAATTTTGCCAGACCAGGGAAGGAAATTTAATGGAAATGTAAATAAGTCTGCCAAAGAAAATATTATAAAGAAAATAAGAACTATTAGGAAGGTAATGCCATTCTTTCTCTTTTTCATTATCATTTCCTCTAATCTGGTAGCTGGAAATTCCCCCTTTAATTAGCACCCACTGATGGCTTTATCTATCATTAATCTTCTGGTCTCCTTCAAAAGCTATCTTCAATCTTGGCCCAAGCAACTTCCCTTGAGCCAGATACTTCCATATGCTGAATATGCAGAAGATTGTAAAAATCTTACTTATATGTTTCTTGAACCACCTGACAAATATTGTGTGCACTATCTTGAGCTCCAGAAGGAAAGGTGAGATATAAATCTGACAAAATCATCATCATCTTCATCATTGTAATGTTTTATTCATAACTTATTTGGGCCTGTTCAGTCCTTTAGTATATTGATGATGTTGCTATTGTTAATCTGATGAATATAACTTTATTGTTATTTGCTCTGAACTTTATTAGTTATTTCTATAGGAAAATCTTGTTGGATTCCATCAAAGGCTATGTTGGGTTTAATGTCCTGAATCATTTGGCACACGTAAGATTCCACAAATGAAACAATAGTTGGCCAGATGGCTCATACTAATTAGTTCTTTCCCTTTATCAATCTGCCCTCCTTTGTTCATCTTCTGCCTCCATATCACAATCATCCTAACATTACAACCCTATTTATTTATTTACTCACTCTCAGAATTCTGAGTAAGATGTACCCTGTCTTAACTTGGCACTCTTCAGAGGTATTGGATCAGAGCTCCTATCATCCCCGTTCCCAATTAAGTTGGAGAGACCTAAGGTATATGACTACAAGTTTAATTTGGGAAATTAAAAATAATATAGCTCAGATATCAAAACATTTATCCTCTAACTTTTCTTGTCTGGATTTTAAATTTTCTTGTTTTCAAATTCAAAGCTTGCAACTCATTTGAAAACTAATTAAAGATTACCTCATAATGGATTTTGGAAGCCAATGGTGTTACATAATTTTAGCCCTGTTATAGCCAACTAATGTGAAAATGCATTACAGAAAATCAGCACAAGGGGGCATTTCAAAAGTATTTTGCTAAATTTAGAGGAAGTAGAGTAACTTCATCATCACTCCAGTGTTAAGATTTTGTATCATAAGCTAAAAGTGCTGCTCCTTAGAATCTAACTTAGAATAGACCCACTATATTTACCCCATCTGGTACATTATTATATATATAGAATACCAGGCTCTCTTTATATTTGTACAAATAGCTTCATTTACTTTCATGCACAAATCTAGCTAACAGTGGGGACTACCAATGTAAGATGGACTGGTTCTCCCTGTATTTCATTCCTTGCCAACAGTACAGCAAGTAAAACCACAGATCGCATTTACTCTTTTGTAGGGTCAAATTGTTAAGAGATTCATGCTTCGTAGCCTGTTAGAACATCACTGGCTGACTCGCTTAGGGAATTTCTCTTTCCCACTATTCCCTGTTCAGCTCTCAGAATAGGGACAGTAGTTCCAAAGTGACACCAAATGCCAAAGGCACAATTGTGAAGAACTCATCAGAACATTCTTGGTAAAGCTTTACTTCCGCTCTTCATTTCGTCTATATGGAAAGTGATTTTCCTCCCTCTGAAACAATGTTATTATCCTCAGTAATGTTGGTATGGTACACTTTCTGAAGCAGTCCCTATCTTGCAGAAGAGGTAAAAGGGCAAGATTCCCAAACGATAGCAATTTCCAGCAGGCTAAGCTTATGATCTACCTGTAAACACAGCATTTTAGAGCATCATTTCTCAACCTCAGCAACATTAAGATGTGTGAACTAAACTCCCAGAATTGCTGAGGCTGAAAAACACTGCTTTAGATAAGGTGACCAACCCTCCTCCTTTAGGGAGGACAGTCCTCCTTTTGTAAGTTCTGTCCTCCCTCAAAAAGTGTCCTCCTTCATGTCCTCTTTTTCGATGTTTGAAGACTAATCTGCAGGGCTTTTTTTTTCCCCTCATAGAACGCTCAGAACGGTGTTCCGGCACCTTTTTTTGATGGTTTTTTTTCAACTTTTGCATGAGCTGTGCTACTTCCACTATTGGCTTTCGAAAGCCAATAGGAATTGCTGCTGAGCATGCCAAAACACCCGGCTGGCAAGCTTTGCACATGCAAGTTGTCTGTATTATTGTTGCAATGAATAAAATGGTTTTTTTTATTTACAATTTTTTTTCTTCAATTTATTTGTGTCCTCCTTTTCATTGTAAAAAAATTGGTCACCTTACTTTAGAGGCTTTCTTTAGATTTCATTACCATCAAATGTGATTAGAAAACCCCCTCAATTGTTACTGGTTTGGAGAAGCCTTCCTGAAGATTACTGGACTTCACTCACACAGCATCTGCCTAAGATATTCCTTTTCCTCTGGAAATCTTATCATTAAAAATTATCATTGAAAGTGCCCGTGCTAGGTTGGCATGATTATTTTTTTTACATAGTTGTTTTTCTTTCCTTTTGCCATTTATGTTGTATTTCTAATTTATTGCATTGTTAATTTTGCTGATAGGTCTTTGTAATTTATAGACAATATTGGGCAGATGAAACATAACTATTTTGCCTTAAAAGGTAAAAGCATCGTTTTAACCTCTTCTCCCTCATTAGGATATTGATGTCAAGTATTATCTGAACAGAACAACAGACAACCAAAGGTCTAAGTGGCAGTTGTGAAATGTAGGCTGAAACATCCTGTTCCACTTCTCAGAAAGATTCAAATCAATCTTACACTGCAGATTTTTATTCCAAGACGATGAAGAAGGCAATCTCTGGATCCAGCTTTTCCAGCATTACAGGATGTTTGGAGTAGCTTAGGAACACAATTCTACCAAAGCCAGTTACTCATACACACACAACGCTCATCTAGTACAGCTTTCCCAATTCACCAGGCATTCACTTTATTCATGGTCTCCCCATTTATAAACAAAGGCTTTTCTGAACAAAATCATGGAAAAAATCTTCCAGAACCTTGCTCTGTTACTCTATCAAGAATTCTACAAAATCTTTTCAGTAATATTTTCAGTTTTATCCAGTTTTACTGCATGTTTGTTAAGATTCTATCATAGGAGGAAGTGATTTTCACCCTGAACCAAATGTATTTATCTTCCCCAAGCATAAAAATAACAGTATATGTGGAAATATAACTATTGTAGCCTGTTGAAGCCAAGTGGTGCATTAGTGGGTTAACTATATCCAAAACTCATGTCTATACTAGATTTAATGAGTCATAGCTAGCTTCCAGCATTTGAAATAAAATGCTTTTATATTGTCAGTTTGTGTTGAATCTTTTTTCTGTAGTAGGAAAGTGAAAACAAATCTTTGAAGGTTATGTTCATTTCCAGAAGGGCAAATTATGTTAATCCCGCTCTAGTGGACTGAACTCTATGAAAGCTTATATGGTTGCTGCCTTTGTATACCTTTGTGTAAGATATGTTGCTTAATATATGCATATTGCACTCTACACAACAAATGAAACTTGCCCATGCCACTTAACACTTTACCAGCCAGATGCCCAAACTCTGCAAAATAGTTGCCTCAATTTCATTTCTAACTAGGGGTTCAGAACTGCTTCCGGGTTTCTGTACTACTGTGGCCAATAATACAGAAACTCCTCCATGCTGCATTCACCTAAGAAATAAACAACAGAAAAGAATGTTTCTCCAGAAGAATTATGAAGCAGATGATTGTGGCTTGCAATTCTTGCATGTGGCTGAAACTTCTCCAGTCCTCAGTTCTAGCCACAACTTACATAGTTTGGGATAATCGGTTTTGCCAGTGCCGGTAATGCCACATCAAGTCTACACAAGTCTGGCTCCTAAAATGAAGTACATAAGTGGCTGTGGGAGGGAGAGAAGATGGAGAAAGACCTGCTAAAGCTTAGTCACCCCATGTTAATTTAAAAGGAAGCCTCAGTACTTAGTGAAGAGTGAAACGACCAGTAGATCCAGTGTAGGAACTCAACTGAGCCAGAGGGATGGGCAGTGCCTAGCTTCAAAAAATAAGCATACTGACAAACCTGGAATCATTTTAAACTGAGAAACTAAAAGTCCTTTCTACAGTCGAGATCATAGTACTGGCTCCTAAATTTGACTTACTTAAGCCATATAAGGAAAACAGAAGTTTTTTTTAAAAAAAATAATAATAATAAAAATAAAACTGTCTTCCAAAGAGGTGTAGTTACTGAAAAATAGTACATTGTAAGATTTCTTTATATTGTGAAATGAGATCTGGCAATGTACATCTCCAATTTAAGAATTTTATAAAAGTTCTAAAATACATTTTTCTTCAACCTGATTGTACTAGAAGCATTGCTGCTGTTAGACTGAACTTGGTAACTAGACTGCTTTTTGTGTATTTTAAAAATAGCTTTACATTTAGATCTTAAATAGGAAAGCTGACTTTGCCCTCAGAGATGGGGCTTAGACATCTCTTAAACAAATAATCTCACTATTCTCATTTGAAGACCTTCTTTCCAATCACGTCAGAAACAAGTGGCTGCTTTTTATTATGTTTTATTTATTTTATATTGGATCAAGAATATTTTTAGGTATGCATATACATAAAGCTAACATTCTGCATGGGAGCTGGTAATTCATAAACTGTACAGACAGGTGCAGTGCACATACCAGAGCTGAGGTCATTTATTAAATGGACCTGAGCTATTAAAAAACAAAACACATATTCATTTACAGCATTTTAAAAAAAGAATTACATCTTTTTTGCATAAGCTACATATTAAGGGGTCTTTTTTTCCCTCCAAAAAGAACATTTCAAGTATAGCAGAAATGGACAAAAATGCCCTTTACAAAAATAAAATCCAAAAGTTGTTTAGAAAAAAAAAAATGCAGCTGCAGCAGTACCTGGCTTAATGATCATCCTTCAGAGGATATCACCAATGCCACAGATAAAAGTCAGGAAAGACCCTATGGATTTTTAAAAGGTATAAGTCTCAGTTCCCATCAGCTTCGGCCTGCTTGACCGATGGCCTAGGGCAGGGGTAGGCAACCTTGGCTCTTTTATGACTTGTGGACTTCAGTTCCCAGAATTCCTGAGCCAGCCATGCTGAGGGGAAAGGGAGAGGTTTCCAAGCTGAGCCATGCTGGATCAGGAATTCTGGGAGTTGAAGTCCACGAGTCATAAAAGAGCCAAGGTTGCCTACCCCTGGCCTAGGGGCTATAGGGGTTTTGAAATAACATATAAAGCAATATGGGTTCCCCGCTTGCAGGCAAAAGTATTCTTAAGGGCCTATCAGTTAACACTCAGAGGCTATAATGAACTGCCTCCATCAGAGATCAGGTCCATAAAATAGTAATTTAATGGTGCAACTGGCATCTAAAGTTATTGATGGTTGAAAAACAATGGCCTATTAATCATTAGCCTTCTGGAACAAACTATTGTAGTACTTTAAAGGCATCTTTGCTTGTGCAAATGAATACAGAGTTCAGAAAATGCCATAGATTCATGTGCTTTCAGTACTGAGAGATGGAGTAGCATCACCAGTAAAATTCATTAACTGATATGCATTAGAAGAGTTAAATATACACAGCAGTTAAAAAGCAGTACAAATGGCTTTTTCCATATATGCTTTAATCCTACAAAGCACTTTGAGGTATTATAATATATACAACCACATTTTAGCTGTAACCCTATGCACACGTATCTGGGAATAAGACACAGGACAGATTTATTTTTGATTCAATATAACTAGGCTTGCATTGTTATTCATAATTGCAGTATTACGTATATTTATTTGAAAATATATTTGTTCTTGGCTAAGGTCGAAACATGTTAAACCATAAACCATGGTTATAAATAATGCCTACATTTATAAAATATGCTAATCCGGTACCAGCAAACCATATTATGGCTTGTTGTGATATGCAAACCAAGTGGTGATTAGCTATAACACACAAGCATGCATAGAGTGCAACTTACAATGGCTTCCATTGGCTAATAGCACTGAAATAGTGCAGTTTATTTCTATTTACTCTCATAAGGCATTTTTTTCAAGGCTCTGTCTATAACCAAGTGGTTTTACCACTCTCAGAATTGTGAATCAAGGCAATATTTGGTCCTGTTTGGCAACATCCCTGAGCAAGAAAAGAAGATGGAAAAACCTGAAGTGTGTGGGTTTGTAGCTTTACTTCTGAGCACAGAACTTTGCTGTAAAACATTTGTTCCTAAACACTACAGCTTGCACAACCTACCAACACAACTCTTGTCTTTGTTCAGAGTATATATTATTTATCAGCCTATTCCGGAAGTGGCCATTTTAGTTTCTTCAGATGGATAATCCCAAAACACGCACTGCTGTCAGCTGGAGACTTATTGGTGGATGTTACTTGCTTTAAGAAGGGTTACATCATCACAGGTTGTTTATTGGTCTGAATAGATTGACCATACTGGAAACTTTACAGCTGAAACAAAATGTCATTAAAAAAAATTTAATACCAAAAAAGCTAATACTAAAGGTTGGCAAAAAAACGAACATTACTTTTAAGAGATCAAGAAAGCTTAAATATTTGCCTTTAGTCCATAACTAATTATACACATTATAAATCAATCTGGATGGTTTTGTGTGAATTTTCAGTTCTTTTTGTTTTGATACTACCCCTTTGAAGAGCAAAAGGGAACAGTATTTCCACCCACTTTAATATGTCCCTGTCTCAAGATCTACTTTAGAAAATAGTTTTATAAAACAGAGCCTTTTAACATGACATTGTATAATAAAACAAACAATAATTAAAAGAAAGACCATTGCATAATAAAACAAACAATAATTAAAAGTGTATGAACAGCTTGAGACAATCAAGATGGGATCTGCATTATGGCTGTGTGTACACTGAGAGTTTGGGGATAATCCTGCCAGAGTTACACTGCTCACACCAAACTTCCAGGATATTTTTTCTTAAATTACAGTCCCTACAGCAGGCAGATTTGTATAACTATTTACTTTTAAATACATACTTTTTCTATAAGAATAGAGTTCTTCTTTAAATATTAAAATGTTTCAATAATATATACATAAATTAGCTAGTCCAATAAGAAAATACTCCATCCCTTCATAAATAGAGTCCTTGGTCTCTTGCATTCCCCCCTCCCCTTCTTCAGCCCTACCATAGTCCACCCCACTGCCCCAGGGAGCCAGCCATGCTTCACACATGCCTCTTCATGTGCAGGGCCAGATGATCTGATCGAGAGAACGCACGGTCACATAGCTGGCATTGGAAAGGCCGGACACCTGTATGCTTGCGGTAGTGGCGTGTCAGTTCATCTGACCGTGCAAATTTCCAGCCACAACCTTCCCAGGTACAGTGATAAGGCTTCTCACCTGAGAAAGAGTGAAAAAAAAAGTTTGGTGAACTTTCCAACCTGGTGAAAAAAAGTGCAAAGCATCCTTTTCACATTACACAGACAGCACAATATTTGTTGGGGACTCATTCAACTCCCATTAGGAAAGGCTCTCAATGTGAATTGAATTTATTGTCTGTGGATTGCATCATTCACCTTCTCCATCCTGCCTCCACCCATCTCTCTCCTCCTCCTCCCCTCCCCCAAATAAGGAGAAAAGCAATTGTGTTGTTTGTCCATCAATTTCGATGAAGACCCTGACATCTTGCAGGTTATGGGCCATCAACGATGTGTCCGTAGGTGTCCTCCTCCCCCCTCCCCCAAATAAGGAGAAAAGCAATTGTACACCCAGTCTGATAATCAGGTTGTTAGAATACTCAAACTACAGGCTAACACACACACACACACACACACACACACGTTCCTGAGAGTGCCCCACCGAACGGGGCAGGGAAAGCTACTTTTGAATAAAGGTAGACAGAGTTCAAATCCACAAGTGATCTACTTAAAACTATTCGATAGACTGAATAAAGCGATCGGTCCAGACGCATTGTCCAAGAAACCCGAAAGTTAAGCAGGCAAGTAAAGCAATACATTTGGAAGACGCTTAACGCCAGAGATCCTCTAGCTGCACAACCCTGAGGCAGAGACAGATCAGCCGGAGGGGTCTGATCCCGACTTTCTGCGAATGTCTTGCTAGCCTTTGGGGGGGGAAAGGCCTCTCCCGTCTTTGTATTCTATCCCATCACGGGTGGAGTAACCCCACACTACGGGGTTTGCTCCCCAACAACCATTAAGCCGGGGAGGTCTCCCTCTACCCAATGCCCTCGCTGCCCCTGCCCGTCTCCTTACCCGTGTGGGTCCGCATGTGCGCCTTGAGGTGCGAACTCTTCGTGTATGTCTTCCCGCAGCCGGCAAATTCACAGTTGTGGGTGGCGGTGCGTTTGCGGGCCCAGGACCGCCGACCTCTTTTCGGCTTGCATTCCTCCGGGGGACCCATCGGGGCGTAGTAATCCAAGACGGGCGAGTTGGGCGGCGTGACGAGCAGCCCGGGCATGCCTTGGGCGCGCGGTTTCAAAGGCTCTCGAAAGACGCTGAAGTGTCCGTGGAACTGGGACTGCATCTGCCCGGCGAAGTTGGGCTGGAAGAGGTGGGGAGGCCGCGGGTAATGCTGGGGAGCCCCCATCGGGGCGCCCAGATCGCCGCCCACCTGGCAAGGGGGGCCCGAGCCCATTTGCTCGGCGGGGAAGGCCGAAGACGCGTGCTGGGGCAGCTGGAGCAGAGGCTGCATCAGAAGGGGCTTGTGGTCCAGGGCTCCGGACGCCAGGCACTCGGGCGGGCCGCTCAGCATGCAGGAGTGCCCGTCCATCGGCTCCTGCTTGACGCGCAGGTGCTCTAAGGGCAGCCCCGCGGGCAAGCTGGAGGGCGGGTGGGCCAAGCCGGGGACGCGCAGCTCGGTATATTCCCGCCGCTGGAGCTCGCAGTGGCTCGGACCCACCGAGGGAGGGGGTTGCTGCATGTCCTGAGTGAAGAGCTCGGCTACGTAGCTGTGCCCGGGGCTGGGCAGGTAGGACGCGGCGAACTTGTTAGGGGGCTGGTAGTTGGAACTATCGCTGTCGTAGGTGGTGCCGCAGCTCTCCGGGGTTTCGGGCAGGGGGTAGTTAGGGTTGCCGCCGGGGTGCGCGGGCCCCACCCCGCCATTGGGCTGCCCGTTGGTGGTGTGCGCCAGGATGAACTCCAGGTCGACGAAGTTACCTAGCTCGTCGGCTTCCCTCTTGATGGCGGTGGCACTTTCCAAGGAAGGAGGAGCCAGCCTCTGCGGAGGGAAAAGCAGGAGTTACCGTGTGGAAGGAGTTAATGCGTCCGAGACTCAGATCCCAGCGTTAGTGACAGCACCCCCAAACTTGAAAAACGGGTTACGCGCTCCTGTCTCCGAGCAGCCCCGGCGTTGGCCTTCTACTTGCTTCCCCGGAGACCCACAAAGCCAGGCTTCTCCGAACCCCGCGCCGTCCCGGCGCCAACAGCGAAGTCGGAAGAAACTCCGAATCAGCTGTCCCTAGGTACCCTCCCCCCAAGGAATGATGGAGGAGTAAATTAACCTGAACTTTTCAGTCCCGCCCTCTGCGCACCGCCACCGCGATATTTTCTCTGCGCGAACCCCCTCGCGCCCGGCGCGCAGCGATGGCCCCGGACTTGTCTGAGTGTCAACAGATGCCCGGAGTTGAGCTCCCTTTGCCGAAATCCGTTTAATTTTGCCGCCAAGGGGACTTCGACCTGAATCCCTTCTGAGCCCAATCGAGGTGTTTACAACAAAACTCCTTCTTTGCTCAGGCAGAACTCGAACCTACACATTTTTCAGCACTACTCTGTATAATCCTGAAAAGACACGCGAAGGCAAAATGAGTTTTGCGCACAAAGATATGCAAGGAACCCCCTAAAAATGAAAAAAAAAGGGGGGGGGTCGGCAAAATTCGGACGCCCAGCTTAACTTGGTTTCGATTAAAACGAAACTGTTAAGCGAGCCCAGGAATCTTTACTAACAGGTTTGTCCTTTCCGACGGCGCTGAAACTATGTATGGAGTTGGGACGCCAGATAGAGGATTCCGCCAATTATGGGAACACACTTTTCTGGGACCTCAAATCAGCCCGATCAGGAACTCCACCCTGCTTAGTCTCCGCACGTACTTCTGAAGGACCAGAATAGCCTAATAAACGCGCCCACCTCGCCAAGTTGAGAATGGTGCTGCCTCTAAGGCGCTCCGGGCGGGGGGGTTGGCGAAAAAACTTTGCTCCAGATCAACAAACTCCACAACTTTCCCTTTACAAATCTAACTAGCCTTGGTCTCCTAAACTATGCTTTTCAAGAACGCGGTTGAGAAACGATTTTGTTCGCCGCAGATCTACACGTCTCATTCGAGTCCCAAGAGAAAAGAGCAGAAGGCGAGCGTAGCTACTACGCACATCTAGACCAAGAAGGAGAGGCGGCGGGTGGGAGCACCCCTGGGCAATTTGGAACAGAAAATCTGCCCGCCGGAGAAAGAGCCTTTGCATTCCTGTTCAAAATTGCCCGGCCGGTCCGAAGCTCCTTCTAGAGACATTTGCGCTCTTTACATCTACTTTTAATTTGCAAAGTTTGTAAGATCCTCCGTGCGCGTTTCGAGTTAAACGGCGCTTGCTCCCTAGTTGAGAGATCGCCGGTCCTCGCTCCCGAAGGACTCCCTCCGCCAATAGCTCCCGTACCATCTCGGGCCGCCTCTGTTCCAGCGGCACCAAGCCGGCAAAGGTGGAGATGGATGGCAAGACGGCTTCCTCCACTGCTACGCTCATCTTGCGCGGTGGCTCGAGCTGGAAAGAGCTCGGTAACTGCCCTCGGTCCGGCAGCTCCGCTCCGGGCACTGATCGAGCGCTGAACTCTTCCCAAAGCGGAAAAAAAAACCCACCCCAAACTCAAAACTTTCTGTACGAGTTCAGCTCGTGAAAACAGCTGAGCCTGCTGTAATTGGTCGAGGGTTATGTTAATATTCATGACAAGCCGCTTTGGATTTGATTTCGCAAGGCAAAGCCACGCCCACCACAAAAAAAAAAGGCTAGTTGGAAACACGACGGTCGCTGCCAGGAGAGGAACAAGTGGAGCGGCCCGGATGCAGAGTGCTGAAGTGTCAGTAATACGACTACTTCGCCCTAAATGTTCGAAAGCGGCAGCCTCCCCGCTGTGTTGTAAAGGCAAAGCAGCCCTACTGTCCCCGCGGCCCTCCAGATATCTGGCACCCTTCCACCCTTCTAGCAAAGCAGGGAGGACGGGACGTGATGGGCTGAGCAGCCCAATATTTCTAGAGGGCACTAGGCTGGGGAAGGCAGTCCTATGGTGTCTGACCATACACGGGAAGGTTCAGATTACATTCCCCATTCCATGATGAAGCTCTCCAGGCTCTGTTACTCTCAGCCTAAGTTACCTTACAGGATTCTTGCAAGGCTAAAATGAGTGTGTAGGAGAGGATCCCGTGCTTTGGAGTATTGCAGCTGGGAGTTTAGGATACATATCAGGGAAGCTACAGCTCTTTTTACAGAGTCACAGCATGAATTCTGATCTTAGCTCAAGACCGCTCTCACGTCAGGTCTCTTGTTGGCCATGCCTGCAGCCTCAGACTACAACCAAGTTACACTTGGTTATTCACCAGGCAATACTTAGATTAGCAAATTACAATCCTTTTAAAGCTTATGAGAGTAGGTCACTCTATAATGTGGAGCACCGTCTCCATGTTTACAAGGAAATGTGCTGGGGGGGGGTCCTATTTCACTGCAATAAAGCAAGATTTAGATACAGTACTATGTTGTAGACGCCAGGAAAAAAGAGATGAAATGGCCAGAAGCTAATATCTTGGTATTAAAAAGTCAGAAGAAACATCAAAGTAATGAAAATGACTGTTCTGCACTTTTTGGTATAGAGATTATGCAAAGGTGTCAGAGAATATAGTATATGGATTTTAGGGCAGGTATTGGAAGGAGAGATTGCACTATATGCTTGTTTTGGCTGTGTCTTTGAATTAGATTGCTCATCCCTTGTCATCTATGAAATGCAAGTTGGGAAACTTTGGCCCTGAAAATGTTATTGAACAACAAAGTTCAGCATTCTGTCATATTGACTGAGGCTTCTGGGTATTAACATTCAGCCATACCTGCAGGGTAACTTCCCTGAAGTGCAATGCACATTGGTTATTATAATGATAATATTAATACTGATACCAATTGCAATTTAGATCTACCGCAATCCAAAGCAGTGTTTCTCATCACTGGCAACTTTTTTTTTTTTTTTTTTAAAAAGTGGACTTCAACTCTCAGAATTCCCCACCCCAGTCAAGGATGAGAGACACTGATTCAGAGGATATCCTGGCAGAAATTTTTCCCAATAGATACTTATATATTAACAAAACTGACCGTGAAAGAAATTCAACTATTTCATTAAAGTGATTTCCATTATTATGCAATCAATCAATCAATCTGTTTATTACAGCCATAAGGCCAGACATAATCAAAGTATAACAGCAGTGACAATTTTACTTCCATATTTACAGAATATAAAACCATCAAACAATCAATGTAATATAATCCGAAATTCTCAAAATAAAACATCATATTAAAATTTTTCAGACCTTGATAGTGGTGCAACGTATTGTGCAAATGGTGGCACAAAATTGGGCAACCTGAATTGATATTTTCAGATCCTTATCTGAAAGTAGCAACTTTAGATAAAATACATATCCCTTACCTGGAAACTTCTTCAATATCGGATATATAAGAATCTGTCTAGAGTCTTTATATAAAGAACAACGAAGCAACATATGGCTTAGGGTTTCTATAGAGCCATCACCACATGGACACAACTGAAGGTGCATAGGAATGCCCTTAAACCGTTCAAAATGGACTGCCGAGGGCAACGCATCCAGCCTGGCTAAGGTGAAAGCTTTACGAAATTTCAAAATTGTAATGGAAAATAGATAAGAAGCTGGAAAGAATCCTTCTGGAAGCAAGTGACAAATATTGGAATGTGCCACCTTACTTAAGTTTGTTTGGAGATCAATATCCCAGATATGTTGTTTCAAGGCAGTTCTAGCATTATCAAATCCTAATGAACACAGACTTTCCATAGAGAAGCCCAGCGATTTAATTTTATCTAGTGCTTTTTTTCCCCCAGAACAATTTAAAATGACCTATAAATACTAATGGGGCATTATTATGCAATCTTCCAACTATTTAAGAAGAGGTTTAAGCAAGTATTTACTTAAGGTAACATATTGACTGCTTTTGTACTTTTTTTAAAAAAAATCCTGTTTGATCCCATTTGTTTTAAGTATAGCATATCTTCGATTTTAGGGAAAAGAGTATTGGCCCATTTCCTTTTTTACACTTTCATGTTCAAGAATCCATATTTAGCCTTTCTTAACACATTATCCTTCAAATGTACTGAGCCATGATTCTTATTAGGTGTCCCCCCTCCCCCATGTATGATCACAACTGGTTAGAGTGATGGGAGTTGTAATCCAAAACATCCAGAAAGCCACTGGTTAAGGAAGACCACTCTCAATCTTTTCCAACACCAGAAAGAAGTAGGCGGTAATATAGAGTGCTCTAATTGGTAAGAAAATGACATTCCACAAATTTTAATTACGTTCCATTAGAGAAAGGTAAGTTAAGATCTATTCCTGGATTGCAAAACTTAATAAAACTTCAAGGTTAAGAGGCAGGATGTTGCATTTTAAACATTTATTTATTTACTTATTTATATCTCGCCTTCATTATTTTTACAAATAACTTAAGGTGGCAAATATATCCAACACACCTTCCTCCTCCTTTTCCCACAACAACAACCATATGAAGTGAGTTGGGCTGAGAAAGTGTAACTGGCCCCAAGTCACCCAACTGGCTTTCATAGTTAAGGTGGGACTCAAACTCAAGGTCTCTAGCTTTCTAGACCGGTGTCTTAACCACCAGGCCAATTCTTTTTCTTTCATTGAAAAATACTGTTTTTTTCTACTATCCTTAGTCAACAGCACATTATTCGTTTCCTTTCTATTTCTTAAATATTTGACTTGAAAATTGTTCAGTTTATTGTCCTCACATTTTTTCATAAGTTGGGTAGACCAGTTTAACTATTTCATTTAAAATTTCTTCAAGGTCTTTTTTATTATGGTCTCTATGTTGTGAATCTTTTCTTGCTAACACTAACTTGTTGGACTGGTCAGAAATAAATGTCACTCATCTTACTGGCACAGATCACATACATAATTCAAATCTAGTTTACCATCTGTCCTATCTCCTCAATCATATTCATCAGTGTTGCTATTTCTACAATTACTTGTTTTCTTTTTTCTTTCTTTCTTTCTTTCTTTCTTTCTTTCTTTCTTTCTTTCTTTTACAATTATCTGCACAAATTCAGCTTCGTCATCTTTTAATAACATTAATTTTAACTTGAAAGCTGATGGAGTTCTTGGGGTGGAACCAATCTGTAGGACTTTTTGGTCTAGTAGGAAAAAATCATTTAGGGACCACAGACAAGACTGGAAGACTAAGAGGAACTAGACCAAATGTGGAAGGAATGTCACTGGATTGTCTTGTACTCTCTCTCCCATTGCAGACCTATCTTTCACTCTATTTTCATTCCACCCCCTCATGAAATTAAACTTTCAAACTGGAGTTAAACATCTCACCAATTAGGATCCTAGAGAAAGGACAGCAGTCCCATGACGGTTAAGATGTAGAAGAGAAAATCGGGACTTATCTCTATACTCAGCCTATGTTGCAGACCAAAAGGGAAGTGAGGAGCATTGGGTTTGTTTTGGAACAGAACCTAATATATTCAAGACCTAGCAAACCTAGACCCCAAGTTTTTACCAGATCAGATTTAGCTATCAAACAAATAATAAAGAAGACTAGATACAAGTGCAGGCTCTTGATACCTATGAGGGAAATTCTGTTCTTTCTTCTCAGATGCCCTAACTCATCTTGAGTCCTTTTATTGGATATATTTAAATAAAATAATAGGAAAGCCCAGGCAGAAAAGTTCCTAACAACTCTCTTCAGTGTCCAGAAATTCTCCAAGACCTCTATGTTTTCATCCCTAGGCTGGACTTTGAGGTCCAAATCTACAGCTTATCAACCCAGTCTGTCCTTCAGATTTGGCACCAAATGACTACTACTAAGGAATTTCAAACCTTGTAAGATGTTATGACAAGTGCTTCAATTTGAATGGTGATTATGTTGAAAAGTAATGTAGTGTTGTAGTTTTCTAATGTGTATAATAAACGTTCTGTACCTGCGAGTGTCTGTTATTGATAACCAAACAGAGGTTTATTTCTGAATTGCCCTTGTATCATCGACGCAATGTATATGAATTTGGACAAACTCAGGGAGTCAGTGGAGGATGGGGGGGGGGGGTTGGCATGCTATGGTCTATGGGGTTCTGAAGAGTCAGACATGACTTAGCACCTGAACAACAAAAATCAAAATGGTGTTATAATTTCAGGAAGTTTAGAATATGACCGTGTATTATAAATATTTTAAAAATTAGGGCTGGCAAAAACCTTTTGTTGTTGTTTCTTTTGCCCTAAAACTTCAGAAATATAATAGGTGTTTTAAACATGGAATAAGGATTGGGGACAGGAAGACAATTGTAGACACATAATTCACAATATATACAAAGCATATAATATATACAAAGCAAAAGCATATAAATTTTATTAATAAATAAATAAATAAATAAAGCTATATAAAATGCCCCCCAATTAAATCATTAGATCCAGAGAAGTGATAAAGTTAACAGCCATACACGAATCGCTGATCTTTACAGAAAGCTATTGAATAACAACTCTTTATCAGGGAATGTTAACCTATGTATTAACAAGATGGCAGCAGCAGGGAGGAGAGTCAAAATAGAAACTAATGAAAAAAACTAAAATTAACGAATT